AAAATTGGAAATACCGTACTGGGTGTTGGATTAGTATTTGAAAAATCATTTTTGGCTTTCTACTGTTCAATATTCATTAAAAAAGTGGGAATCTTTCAAAAAAAAGGAAGAAAGCAATTACTTTCGAAATGAACTCCTCACAAAGAAAAGACTACAGGTTCTCATCAGAAAAAAAATGGGATTCAAAGCATTCAACTTATAACTCTTTCATATTTCTGATAGGAATATAAGGGAATATCCGCCTTTATATAACGATAACGATATATAATTTTGCACATTGCTAGATTTTTATGACTCACGTTTCGTCTACTACTGTAAAAGACGTTCTCAAAGTCAATGAGGTAATAGAAGGGCTCGAGTTGTGTCACAGCAGATATCGCGCCAGCTTAAAAATCTGTAAACCGCGGCCAAGAAACCCAGAAAATAGCAAGAAAAAAATGATATGTTGGAAATGTCGGTCAGGATTTTCGGTTTCTCGTTCTGGGTGTGTAGAAATGTTTGACGAACTTCAATTTAACTTTAATATATGAAAAATACAAGAATAGAACTCAATACATCAATTACAAAAAGAAAAAATCTGTTTGACATCTCTGTCAAAGTTTGACATTGCTCTCTAAAACCTCTACATGGTGAGCCAAAGTAATAAATAAATTACGTCAGATTGAAAAAGTGGTTGGTAAATTAGTTTTCCCAATAAAATCGGTTGTATTTCATTGGCCTCAAAGAATAAAGTAATAAACAATAAACTGTTTTATCCAAGAAATCTCTAACAGCAACGATTTGGTGAATTTCAGGAATTCATACTTTTCAGGAGTGGCAAAAAACGAAAATAAAAATAAACCAAGGACTGTTATTATCACCTTTATGACAAAACATTTTTCTTCCTCCACCTCGTAGCTTGTACATGAGGCTCACAATGTCACAATACACGCTAACAGTTTATTTGTTCATTTGAATCAATTATAATAAGTTTAGCTATTCCTTGGTAGATGGCGCCACTATGTCCTTTCGCCATATAAATTCAAAACTATTACAACTTCATTTGTGAAGAGAAATTTGAACCTTTTTCAATGAGCAAACTCCTTGTGAGAATATTGTTCATTTCCAGTTTCCTGCAAAAGGTAAACATTAACGTCTATTTGGTTAAATTTGCAAATAAACGTCAGGAGAAATCATAGTCAAGCTTCTTTCCCAAAAACTATTCTCTTCATAAAATATACCCCTTTCTATTTAAACACGAATCGAACGGCTGGGATTGAATCAAATGAGCTTCTGACTGTTATTGTGACAAGAGTAGATTTATGTCGTCCGTAACATAAAGTCGTAAGGTTATGAATGAAAGTAGATTTTCACCTTATTCTCCAGAAACATGGTAATGGGGCGATAAGACTTAGTACCTCGTTCCAAAACTTCGAAGTCGACATTGTGTTTCATGTGAATACTTTGTTTCTAAAGGTATCTAATTGATTATTGATTCNTTTTTAATATTACAGAATATAGGTGTACTCGTATATCTAACAGTGATATATTCTCTCATTTTAAATTTCTCAATTTTTTATTTATTTTTTCACTATCATTTTTTTCTATCTTCACGGCCCAAAATTTCCCAACTTTTTCCCAAGTGGAAAAAGCAGGGGTGGGGAAGCTCCCACCCATCCCCCCATGGTGACGGTCATGGATGCACTGTTTGAAACCTTTGGTGTAGTAATGAATGTACCTGGAGTTTTTTTCCAACACCAAACGTGTCGAGGTGTTAAAATAACGGTTTGGTGTTGTGAAAAACTCCAGTAATATTCAGTAATCATGTGAAAATAGTCGTTTCAGGAGGGGTTTTCCATTCAATAATTGTTTTAGATATAACAATTTCAAATTCCTTTATTCGATAGTTTATTCTGTTGAATATAGCTAACCGCGACAGTTTTTCTTCGAAACTTTTGTAATATCGTAATTCCAGTGAGATCTGAAATTCTCTAGATGTCAACGGTATTGGGTATTGAAGAGGAAATTCGTATCATAATTTGATGCATCTAGCATGCCTGTTCGAATATTACTGGGGTTCTTATCCCAACACCAAACCGTTATTTTTAACACCTCGACACGTGTTTCAATCAAAAAGTGATCATCTTCAAGAGAAACTTTAATCTTATTAGTTCAATGTTCCTCATGAAGATGATCACTTGGTGATTGAAACACGTATCGAGGTGTTAAAAACAACGGTTTGATGTTGGGATAGAACTCCAGTAACATTCATTACCACACCAAAGGTTCCAAATAGTGCATCAAAAATGTCTGTTCGAATTAGTCCATTAACAAGACACTTTTCTCATAACTGCTGTTTTCTGATATATCATTCAGATAAATGATGATTTCTCATGGTTGAAGGTGCGACAGTTCTTAAAAATCAGTTGCTATCTAGTTTGGTGCAACTATTCGCCTAAGGAGCAAATATTTAGTTTTACGATATTTTCACCACCAATTATCAAAACTATAGCAATGACTCAAGAATGATATTTCATGATCACAATGTTTGAAAATCGTTGACAATGTTTCGAGGTGCATTTCATTAGTTCGGACTTTCATTGTCTAATATGATTTGAAATCCTTGAAGAAATCTGTAGAAAAATAATTAAAAAGATTAGGCTGAGAAATAATAATTATATTAAGTGAAAAAACTGACATTACAATTAAATGAAAAATACAAAAAACAATAAAAAAGTCAAAAATTGACCTATTAATACTGGATGAAAATTAAAAATTATAAACAGGAAATGAAAATTGAAAATTAAAATATTCCAATCCAAGTTACTTCACGATTGGTACTATCCACAATCGTCTTCGGGTGATAACTGGACTTCGAAATATTTATACCTATTTATAGGTACTTCGAGAGCTTTCACCTATCCCCTCTTTCTTCTCTCCGCTTCATC